AAACTCTTCATACAGATATATTGAAGGTAAAGGTCGCACCATATATTTTATACTAATATTTCCATCTTATACAGAAAAAGATTAAGTAAGTAACCAAGAATTTTTTTATTAACAAATATTTTATAATGACACTTACTAACACTTTGAATAGTATAAACTCGTGCTTTCTCACATGGGACTTTATCAAGTAATTTGTTTAAAATTCTTTTGCATTGCGACTCAATTTCACTTGATCGTCAGTATCCTTGTCTTCTGAAGCGTATTGACCATATGAAAACTCCATGATTATGATTGTCTGTGTAAACTTTTTCGTTTGAAAAACTTTCAAAACCCCATCGATCTTATGGGACTTTGTATCTCTAGTAAGTATTTCTATCCTAAAATAATAGTGACAAAAAAAGAATAGATTAACAATATAACTCAAATTAGTAGGAACTTACAATCGGTACTTACCAGTTTTCATCGAGAACATCGAAATGCATACGGAAAATTCTATTCATAACATATATAATCGTGTCGATCGCGTAGGTTCTTTCCAGTTTCGACGATTTTGAACTTATATTGCATGGAGCTTCCAACCGCACTGAACTATTTTATTGTTAATGTATTATTGATGTCATTAACTTCATAAGCAAAAAATACTTACAAGTGTTTCATAATGTCCTGCGCAATGTCGTGCCCTTCATGAACAAAGGGATCAAAATGCCCTGTGACAAAGGACTTGCGTACCAAAGTGGGGAATTGTACACGATTACATACGTGGTCCGTGAACTGATTGCAATAGTCGATGAACTCTGAAGTTGAAGCCCATGTTTGTTTATTGAGAACCTGATCAAACCACTGTTGTCCTTCGTTCAATTTATTTAATATTGATCGAGTCATTTTCTTCAAATTGGCATTCGAAACATCTATTATCCCATTTAAGAAATTCGAGTTCATCAGTGTTTTTCCCGATTTTAAATCCTTTGATTGATTCTGACGGAGAATCTCGAGCAAAGTATCCCGAATTGTCAATTCAATGGCGCCCAAACCCTTTAATTCCTAAAGATTGGATAGAAGTTAATACATTGATTATGCAAAATAAAGCAAAGGTTAATTACCTCAGATAATTCGTCAAGTAACTTGTGATCTGATATGGGATCACTATCTGAATCACAGAGTTCTTGTGACTCACCATTATCACTTTTGTTCTTATGTACATAAATAAAATTCGCAAAGCCATTTGAAAAAAATTACATTTACACATTAAATAATAATGATAATACAATTACCTCTCGGTTCCAAGATGGCATGGCACCTGATGAATAAATTCTATGTTCGGGGGTTCGAGGTCGTTGATCTTGTTCGTTCTGCTCAGAACGAATCTGCGAGAAATAGTTCCGAGTATCTGAGCTTCCACTAGAAAACGCCTTCTGGAATTTGAAAATCAATGTTTATAAATAAATCATGATATTGCATTTCATAGATTGCAATGATCTCACCTTTTTTAATCGAGGCGAGGATCTTTCCGTTTCTTCTCTATCTCGTTTTCCCGAAGTTATAAGACAATTGTCGAAATTTTGTGTTGAATCTCCAGTCAGATTGTTTAGTTGACTTATAGTACTTATGGTCCTTACCTAATTGACAAAATTATTAATTTATCCTTTACCATAGATTTTCAGACTAGAAGAAGCCTACCCGCATATTCACATGAGCGCAATCCTTTCTTATAATGTCATTGTAAAATGTAGTCCAATCCTTTGAAAAAAAAAGTTTAAAATTATTATACTTGCGAGAAACATTTCGTAATAAATGTATGTATATCGAGTAAAAGACTAGCTCTCAATTAGTCAAATCCAATAAGTTACCTTCCATTTGTCCAGGATTTCTTGTGCTTTTCCTCTACGTATCGTGTCGAACTCAGAGTCAGACCTTGTTACCCTAACGAGATCTTTTTTGATCCAATCTAATACCTTCTTCCAATCTTTTTTCTCCGTTTTATCACGATAATATTCCACCAGGTTATTACACGTCCAGTCTTCGATCTTGTTAGCATGATAAAAAGCCATAAAGGTGGCCATTGAATGAGCCATTCTTGAAAAAGAATTAGTTTTAATAATCGGATTGCTTGGATTACGCGAAAAGTTGGTTCTAAGCCACAATGTTGATTTCCCTGGTGTCACTCCCCCGTGTTTTCATCCACATGAAAAGCATCACACCAAAGTCGCAAGGGTGTGTTTCGAATAATTTACAATTTATTGCATTTACTGGATTGTCGCCTGACAACTTATAGTATCTACCTAACGTCACGTCTGAACAACAGCGCAAGCTGGGACTCTTAGTCTCCAGTCATGAACTCTTAGTTCGGCAAACTGTTGGGACTCTTAGTCTAACAAGGATGCTATTACAGCAATGTGACGTTAGTGCAAGCTGGACTCTTAGTCTACAGCTTTGCAGAAGCTGGACTCTTAGTCTACAGCTTTTTCCTGATTAGTTTTTCCGACGTAAAAAAATAAAAACGTGGCGAAATTTTATTAAAGAAAAAATCAAGGTAAAGCTCTTTATTATATTTTTCGTAAAATAATATGAGGAAGGGCTGACCGGCTAAGCAAAAATAATAGAGTAGCAGGATGTTTCAAGGGAGGAAAGGCATAAAGATCATGCCTGCTTGTTAAGCCTGCCGAGCCCTAACCCATATATTGGCAGTTCCTTTCCCGCTACTCACTTGTAACTGTTTTACTATCGATCCAAGCACCTATTTTATCTGTTACTACCTCTTAAATCATTAATTCTATGATAATATTTTTTGATTATACTGTATCTCTACTAAGTTGTCCCACCCCAAGATTAATAATATCGGCAGCCACAATAACACACATATCATCTAAAGAACACGCTTTTTTCTGCCATAATCCTATCGAAAATAATTTTAAATTGGTTCCAGATTTCTGAAGTTATATCTGAAAATAATCGTTGGGTCGAATCGGATTGTTCTGCTTCCTCGGTAGGCTCAATTATTTCGGGAGAAATGACACTTTGTGCCTGGATAACGGCATAATATCGATTGATTTAATTTTGAAGCATTGAGATAGATCCATTGATTGATTCGAATTCAGTTGCGACTCTACCAAAATTATTATGGTAGATTTGAAGGACTTGTTCGATTTCGTTATATTTCCCAGTTATCACGTTAATGATATTCTGTGTCTCCATTGCATAGTTAGCATCACGGGAATTTATTTCGGATTTGTTCAGTGTTGATCTTGGTTTCACGAGAGTTTGTTTCATCGGCATTTTTTCGCTTTACGTCCCACAGGAATAACCATATGGTGATGAATCCTATACACAAATGGATATTTTCGGGGGTCATCTTTGCAACGACAAAAAATAAAGTAGCCGTTAAAGCCATAAAAGGCATATTCTCCAAAACGACGAATGGGCGCATTTATGCAAAGAAATTCAGATTAGAAATTTAATTGTGAGGATTTGCGGATATTCAGATTTAAGATAAGTGAAACCAAGTTCGATGAGTTTGTTAAATGCCACGTTGGCTTTGCATAAGGGAAGACAGTAGAAAAATTGCATCTTTTATAGGGCTATGTTTCGATCATCATTTATTTCATGTAAAGTCGAGAAGATGCGAGAACGATTTTTTAACTTGACAGTAAACGTAATCAGGTATTAGCATTTCTTTATTACTAATAGCATGTATTCTTGCGTAATCGAAGATAGTCATGCAAATCATTCTACAGACTAAGAATGAATGTTAATTAGCGAGAGATTATGTAATGCTGATAAATCGTGGATCGCCTTACTGGTAATCGCATTGACTCACGAAGTTTAAAAATAAGGTTGGTATTTTTATGAGCATTATGTCCGAAATGTTTATTCTTAGTGAAGTTCAACAAAAAAATATATTTAAAATTAAAACGTATTTCTAGTCTTTATGTGATAAAAATTAGATTGCACGAATAATATGTGCTGGAATCATTATTAATATGCGCGGATTGAATAACGATATTCCGATTTTGTATAAGTTTCACCGGTATTTAAATCATAATAATATCCTTCATCATCGTTAGAGAAACCACAATATCCTCCATCATCTTCCTCTTCGTTGTTATCGGAGAATTCGTCATCATTTTCATTATCCCTAGTTGCGTTAGCATCCTCACCCCGTGAGTCATCATCAAAGAAATTCTCAACTGGAAGTTGGTTCACGTCAAAATCGCCATTATCATTAGTGTCTCCATCGTAGGATTTATTATCATCAGGTGATGAAGCAAAGCTTCGAGTCTCCGATTCTTCCAAGTTAGAATCTATGGCAGAGCCGTGACTCTTCGAGCCTAAAGAATCATTGGGTCCACCTACCTCTGTTTTTGATAAATCCTGAGATGCAGATGATGTGTTTATCTCGGTTTCCGATAAAACCTTTTCGATATGGGATGATGGGATAGGAATTGCAGTTGATTCACTTACTTCAGATAAGATTTTTCCGGGACATAATGTCTCGGAAATTTTGGTCACATGATTTGTTACTAGAGGCAACTTTTCTGAAGATATCCCATAATCTATAACCTCTTGAATTTGCTCATCAGTAAGTTCTGAAATAGAAGTTGCACTATATGATTTGATATATTTGATTTTATCATGGCCCACTTTTTCGAAAAATTTATAGACTTTCTCAGCTCTCTGAGTTTTCTTGCGCAAACTATCTCGTGATATGTCTCGAAGCTGTAAACCTAACTCTTGGGATCTTTGTTTGCGAAGTAAATTAAGCTGTTCTGTAATGGAATCATACAGTAAGCTTCTTGCTTTCTTTTCACCAATTTTACCTCCGCTATTTTCTATAATCCCGTTGAGCTGAATTCTGAAATCCTTCGCATAGAGGGACCAGCATAAAATTTCCTTCTGATTAGCTCTATTCGCTTTATCTTCAGCATCAAAAGCTTTATCACATAACTGAGCTAGATGTTGTGAGGCCTCATCAATGCTAGAATTGTCACCAGAAGTAACTTTTCCAGGACATGATGTCTCGGGAATTTCGGTCGTATGATATTCTTCTATTGATGGTTCTTGTGAAGACAACTCAGGGGTAAATAATTCTTGCTTAAGCTTGCCTACACTTTTCTTGCACTTTGAATTTGTTTCGCTACATATTTTGCCTTCTGGAGGTAATTTACTACCATCTGAATTAGCCGATACTTCGGATGATGTGTTATTGCGTGACTGAGCATCCAAGTTGAGGTCTTGAGGCCTTTCCTCTTCAGGAAGTGTTGTAAGTGATTCTTGATCCCGAATTTTCTTTTTTCCGATGCTCTGAATTATCTCTTTGTTAACTCTCTCCTTATATACTGAATCATGAAAGTCGTCCATCTCCCTGTCCTCTGATGATTTGTCATGGTAATGGCGTTGCTCTGCAACAGTCTCTGTGCGAATAGGTGATGCGAGATATCGGGATGGGGACTCATGACATATATCAGGATTTGAAATATTGTCGGATATATCAGATGCCGAAACATTAGCGTGAGATAACCTCCGGCTACTGGGTTCAGATGCGATAGCAACCTCACTCCGTGAGTCAGAATTTTCCATTTTGTTGGAGGTGCTATTAGATACAGAGTATCCTGCTTCGCAGACTGAAGATTGATCAATTACCTTGGTATTATCACCCAATTTAGTGATAGAGTTGCCAGGTTGCGATTGCTTCTGTTCCAATTTCGCAACCCTAGCTTTAAGTTCGGCGTTTTCAGAAGCGGTATCTTTATCGTTCTGCTCCAGTTTTATAAATCTGGATTCATGTTCTTCCAAAGCTTGTTTTAATTTTACGTTCTCAGCTTTAAGTTCATTGTTCTCGGCCTCAACTTCGGAAAATTTTTTTCT